TCTAGGGGCTGCCCTGACCCCAAACTGTGATCACATTCCTGGGGCTTGGAATATTTATTTCCAATCTCATGGAGAAATAGACCGTGTGTGTGTGTGTGTGTGTGTGTGTGTGTGTGTGTGTGAAGCCCTGCTGTAATTCCTGTTCCAAGCCTGTACTTGGATTTTCTGTGAAAGTATTATGTCAGAAACCATTGCACACATAAGACTCACCTGGGTATAGTGACCACACATGTCAGTACAGCTGTTGGTGTTGAAGTCATAGCTGCTGAATTCATTAAACCAGTCACTGAGAGCTTTATCCACAGAGAAGATGGTAGCTGTGCCAGTCCAGATGTTTTCTCCAACAGGGGTAAAAGAGGGGTGCATCTTCCCTGGCATTTTAAGGTGGATGTTGTGCTTAAACTTGCACTTCCTTGCCCATGCTTTTGCAGTCTTAGCTAAAGCAGCGTCCCAGGACTGTAGAAAAGGGAGAAAACATAATACAACCCGCCATGCAGTGACTTAGCTGAATTAAAACTATTTTAAAACAGAAACTTGTAAGATTTTTTTCCACTTTTCTGCTTTCCATACCAGTCTTTCTCTGACTTGACATTTCTATGCCCATAGCAATTTCTGTTTTCTTCTTTCTCCCATATATATTGCAGGACAAATAGTATCTATCCACTGTCCTGTGGTATCTGACTTGTTAAAATATTTAAAGCTGGAGTTCAGTCTTTAATCTGCTATGCCTGAGGGGAGGTAACTGGATGAAAAACCCAGCTGTGGAGGGGCTTGAGTGACTTTGTGCCATAGAGCTGCTGGCTGCCCAGGGATCTGCACTTTGCAATTATCACTAGACCATAGGGAACCAACTCTGCTGGTCAGAATGTAGAGAAGAGTCACAGCTGCTTCTTCGCCCAGCCCTTTCTTCCCCTTTGTCCTTCTCCCTCCTGAGCACATGGCCAAAGGAAAGAAAAGATTGCTCGTCTCTGCAGGGCCAAGGAGAAACCATTCGCATCCTGAGTGACACAAGTGATACTTTGAGAAAACAGTCTGGAAGACTTGTAGAAAGATTTTATGCCACTGAATGACCAGAAAATAAAGTGGCAGGTAAAATTCAGTACTGAGAAATCCAAATTAAGAGCTGTGCGAAAAAAAAAAAACAATTTTGACTTTGTGTTCATAATGACAGGTTTGGAGATGGCTGTTAGCACTTGTAAATCAATGTTTACTAGTGGGCTAAAAAGCAAATATAATGTTAGAAATTCCTTGAGAAGGAATGGGGAATGAAACCAGATATATAATTACACCACTGTAGAAGTCCTATGTAAACGCTATGTGCAGCGCAGCACCCCACTTTAAAAAGGGGACACTAGAACTGGAAATGACAGGGAGAGCACTGGAGGAAGTTGATCATCCTCAAGTATGGAGGGCTTTCATAAAGCAGAAGAGAGTGCTCTGCAGATTTGATCAGAGACAGCTGGACATTGTGTGTGAAGTAGGCAAATAAACAATAATTACTTGCTCCTTCCTATACAAAGACCAGGGACTATCAAATGGAGCTAGGAATTAACAGGTCCAAACTGAATGTGACAAGGTATCTTCACACACCTTGTGGTTAGGCTGTGCAGCATTTTGCGACATATTAGGGATGATAAAAACTTGCATGAACTCAAGGCTGAAAAAAGAAAATCGTACAAGAAAAATCCATCAAGACTTTAATTACAGTGCAACACCTTTGATTCAGGAGGTTTCTATACATTTGTCTTGCTGCTATTCCAGGCTTGCTGGATCTTTGGTCTGAGGAGCTAAGTCTGTACTTTAAATTAAACAGGGTTATTGTGTTGTTGGGTTTGTTTGTTTGTTTGTTTGTTTGTTTGTTTTTTTAATGGAAAGAAGTTAAAATCATTATTAGTCTGAATTTTACCTCTTTACTATGAACTTCCCTTCATAGAAATGATTCATATTGTGCATGTGGTTATGCATTTTACTTCCTTCCCAGCTACACAGCACTGCTGGAGGGCTCAGTGTAATGACTAGGACTGTCTGGGGTACCTCCCTCAGCTATCTATTTACCTTTTTCCTTACATATTCCACCAAACAAGCTGAGACCAATCCATAGCCTGTCCTGATATCCATTGTATTTCTAGGAAACTCTCCAATCCAGATATTAGTATCCCTACTCTTCACACCCTGCCAGAGCAAATGAAGATCAGGTACCTAAATGGATGACCTGGCAAATCCCTTTCTTCAACACATGTTCTAGATTGGAAGAAACAAGAGGATAGATTTTCAACAAATCCTGTTGTGCAGACTGCCTATTCAGGAGCGTTTTAAAACCAAACAGCTTCCCTATATGAAACCTAAACTAACATAAAACAGATTACTATCTCTGTTAGAAAGAGGTACATGAAATGCTGAGAACTGAACACTATTTTTTTGCAACACAGCCCTTTGCTCTGCTTGAAGTTTAAAGTAGCAATACATTCCTAAACAAGCAATTTCCTTCAAATTGTTAAAACTCAATGATACTGTGAAAATTAATGTATTTTCTATTTCCTATGGAGAACTAACATATATAGCACAGAAATCATTGTCAGAAAGCGAAAGAAAAGCACAAACCAAATGAAGAATAAGATGGGCTAAATTAGCAGCACAGTCCATATTCATTTTCAAACAGATCATAAGGGCCTCCTTACCATGCGGAACATATTGCTGGCTGGTGGATTCACTTTGGATCGAAATGTGTTGTGAGCTCTCACACAGTCTTCAATGAACTTTGCATCTTCTATGTCAGGCAAGGGATGTTGTGGATAAACATGAGAGGAAGAGAAGAAATCCAGAAAGAACAATGCAGCGAAGACAAGTGTGATTTTCATAATTCTTCAATGCTTTCAGTATGGTTTTTTTCACTTTTTAGAAGAAAAATCTCTTAGGTGGAGATAATACCAGCAAGCAGTTCTTCAGAGGTTGTCTTCTGGGTGTGGAAACGTTTGAAAGCGTCAAATAACAGGAAGTGAAATTGCTTCATAAGGTACAACTCTTATCTGACATCACTGCTGGCTGTCAAAGGGTAAACTGTGAAGCAGGCATCTGCCATGCCTGTTAGCAAGGAGCAACACTCCAGGCATACTTCTGTCTTCTCTTTGAGCATGTTCCTTTTTGGTAGACTGTCAAACAATTCTGCAATTGTAGGTCTTATCTGAAGAGATGCTGCAGAACAACCTTCCTAAAAACTGTGTCAGCCACAAAAATCGCAGCTTTGACAAAATACAGATCTGCTGTTCAGCTATTTTCCTACAGCATAGCTTAGTCATACCAGCTCAATTAAAATTATTTTGCAGGACCTTATTTCCATTTCGTAATTGCTCTAGGAATAAACAGAATTAGGGAAACTGCATATATTGAGATTAGACCTCACCACAAGAAAAATAAAAGCTCCTCAAGAGCAGCTTGCTGCAGAACAGACCTTTTACCCTGGTTTGGTGTGTAACACGGATATGCAAGAACTTAAGAACAACTGTATGTTTTAATAGATAAGGTCTTGTAACTCAGATTTAGGTAGGTTCACAGAGAAAATATGCTGTAGATTATAAACAATGTTCATGGATCTGATTCCCTGCTCAGTTTTGCAGGTCAGGCCTTATCCTGCTGA